GCTGCTTTGTCCTGATGGTGTCGAGCGTCTTGAGTGTTATTGGAGCTGCAGTCTTCCAGGCAAGTGGGGAGTATTCCATCACGCGTGATTTGTGTCTTTTAGGTGGTAGACGGGCTTTGAGGAGCTGGGAGATGAATTACTTGCTGCAGTACTTCTATCCTTCCACCTTCTCTTGTAGTCACTATTTATATGGCAGTTGAAGTTCAGTTTCTGGTCAATGGTAACTACCAGGATGTTGATAATGTGATGGCTCTCCTACTGAACAGTAAGGAGTGATGTTAGGTTCTCCCTAGTTCTGGTATTTATGTCAGGTATTTATATGATATGAATGTAGCAACATGTGATTTTCAGCCTAAACCGGGCTGTTTCCAGGTTTTGCTGTATTTGGACATGGACTACTTCAATACCTGAGGAGTTGTGAATGGTGCTGAACATTGTGCAATCATGAAGGGGCGGCATGGTGGCTCAGTGGTTAACACAGCTGCCTCACAGCACCAGGGACCCAGGTTCGATTCCACACTGGATTGACTATCTGTGTGGGTTTCATCCAGGTGCTCCAGTTTCCTCCCACAGTCCAAAAATGTGCAGGCTAGGTGGATTGGTCATAATAAATTTCCTGTAGTGTTCAGGGATGTGTAGATTAGGTGGGTTATAGGGGGATGAGTCTGGGTGGGATGCTCTGAGGGTTGGGATAACAAGGTGCAGAGCTGGATGAACACAGCAGGCCAACCAGCATCACAGGAGCAGGAAGGCGAGCAGGATATCTCTGCTCTGAGGGTTGGTGTGGATTTGTTGAGCCGAAGGGCCTGTTTCCACACTGCAGGGATTCTATGCTCAGCATGATGATTGAGGTGGGAAAGTCATTGTTGAAACAGTTGAAAATGGTTGGGTCTAGGACATTACCCTGAAGCGTACAAATGTAATAAAGATTAGTGGGAAGCCTTAAAAACCAACATAGGATAATTAAAAAAGCAATGGGGGTAGGGGGATGAAATATGAGAGTAAGTTAGTTAGTAATAAAAAGGAACATTGTAAAAGTTTATTTAGGTATCTAAACAGTAGGAGAGAAATGCAAGAGTGGACATTGGACTGCTGGAAAATGAGGCTGGAGAAGTATTAATGGGGAGCAAAAATTTGGGAAAGCCACTGTGGTACAGTAGTTAACACCTGTCTCAGCACAAGGGATCCGGGTTCAATTCCAGCCTTGGGTGACTTTGTCTGAGTAGAGTTTGTATATTCTCCTTGTGTCTGTGTGAGTTTCTGCCAGTACTGTGGGTTCCTCCCACAGTCCAAAAATGGGCAGAAACAAAAACAAAAGTCTGCTGACCCTTCCTCAGAACTGAAGGAAAGATGGGCAGGTGATGTGGAGTGGTTATGCTAAATTGTCCCATGGTGTCCAGGGATGTGTAGGTTAGATGGATTAGCCATGGTAAACGCAGGTTACAGGGATAGAGTAGGCTGTGTCTGGTTAGGATGCTCTTTGGAAGGTCAGTGCAGATGCAATTGGCCAATTGGCCTCTATCTGCATTATAAGGTTTCTATGAACTGAATAGGTACTTTGCATCAGTTTCCAGCAGCACACCAGAACTTCGAGAGTCAGGGACGAGAGGGAATGTAGGGGTCATCACTAAGGAGAAGATGTTGGGGAATCTGAAAGGCCTGCTCATGGAGAAATCACCTGGACCAGATGGACGAAACCCCAGAATCTGAAGGAGATGTCTCAAAAGATTGTAGAAGCGTTGGTGGTGATCTTCCAGGAATCACTGGAGTCAGGGAAGGTCCCAGAGGACTGGAAAATAGCTAATGTAACCCCACTATTTAAGAAGCGAAGGAGGGAGAAGACTGGAAACTACAGGCCACTTAGTTTGACCTCTGTCTTTGGTAAGATTTTACAGTCCATTATTATGGATGAGTTTGTGGAGTATTTGGAGGTGAATATTAAAATAGGGTGGTGTCAGCATGGCTTCATCAAGATGCAGTAATGCCTGACAAATCAGTTTGAATTCTTTGAGGAGGAAATGAGCAATTTAAACAAATGACGCCAGTGGACATGCTCTGTTTGGATTTCTAGAAGATCTTTGACAAGGTGCTGCTTGGGAGGCTGCTAAATAAGATCAAAGCCCAAGATATTAGGGCAAGGTACTGGCATTGATAGAGGATTGGATGACTGGGAGAAGACAGGGAATGTGGATAAATGGGTCTCTTTCAGGATTGCAGCCAGTGACGAGTGGAGTTCTGCAGGGGTCAGTGTTAGGAGCACGACTGTTCATGTTATGGATTAATGATCTTGATGAAGGAACGGAGGGTATTGTTTGCTACATTTGTAGAGGACACAAAGATAAGTCAAATGCAATGTTAGCATTCATAGATTCATACAATCCCTGCAGTGTGGAAACAGGCCCTTGGGTCCAACAAGTCCATACTGACCATCAAAGCGTCCCACCCAGACCCATCCCCCTATAACCCACCTAATCTACACATCCCTGAACACTGTAGACCACTTAACATGGCCAATCCACCTAGCCTGCACATCTTTGGACTGTGGGATGAAACCGGAGCACCCGGAGGAAACCCATGCAGTCATGAGGAGAATGTGCAAACTCCATGCAGACAGTCGCCTGAGGGTGGAATTGAACCTGGGTCCCTGGCGCTGTGAGGCAGCAGTGCTAGGCACTGTGCCACCGTGCCGCCCCTAATTCATTTTAGGCATGCTAGAACACGAGCAGAGATGCCTGCAAGGCTGTATAAGGCTCTGGCCAGACCACATTTTGAAACATTGTGAGCCATTTTGGGGCCCCTATCTAAGAAAGAATGTGCTGCTGAGCTGAGTGGGTCCGGAAGAGATATACAAGAATAAATCTGGGGATGAAGGGCTTGTCATATGAGGACTGGTTGAAGTCTCAGGGTTTGTATTGGATGGAGCTTAGAAGTATGAGGGGACGATCTGATTGAAACTTATAGAATACTGAAAGACCTGAATAGAGTAGATGTGGAGAAGCGTTTCCACAAGTAGCAGTGTCTAGAACCCGAGGACACAGCCTCAGAGTGAAGGGACGATCTTTTAGAACTGAGATGAGGAGGAATTGCATCAGCCAGAGGGTGATTAATTTGTGACTAACTGCTGCAGAGGGCTGTAGAAGCCAACTCGTTGAGTGTATTTAAGGCAGTGATGGGTTCATGATTGGTAAGGAGACCAAGGCTTATGGGGAGAAGGCAGGAGAATAGGTTGAGAAAGCATTAGTTATAGTTGAATGGTGGAGCAGACCCAATGAGCCAAATGGCCTAATTCTGCTCCTTTTAACTTATGGTCTTAAGGTCTTCTGCGGGGATATCCTGGAGCTGAGATGACTGACCTCTAAAAGCAACCACAGTCTTCCTTTTGTGTCAAGTATGACTTCAATCAGTGGATAGTTTTCTCTGATTCCCCTTGGGTCAGATTTTGCTGGGGCTCCTTGATGCCACACTCAAATGTGGCCTTGATGTCAAGGACAATCACTCTTACTTTTGGAATTCAGCTATTTAGAGATTGGCTGTAATGTGGTCAGGATCTGAGTGACCCTTGCTGAAATGAAACTGGGTGTCTGTGAGCAGGTTATTGTGAAACAGATGCTGCTGGATAGCACTGTTGAAGACTCCTTTTCATCACGTCCAAGCAAAATGGCGGCGGTGTAGCAGTGCAGCTTGCGGGCTCCTCAGCCCAGGAGCCTGGAGCTCATGTACTCTGTCTATTTTTACTTGCTTGCTTTTGCTGCTTTTTCTTAATGTTTCCATTTATCGTCTTAGCTTTTTTTAAACTCCTTCAGCGGCAGGCATCTTGTCCTGGCCTAGGCCCAGCGAAGAGGAGCTTCGAGGCTGGCATGGAGGTCTTGACCTAGTGCAGCAGTCTTCTGTTGTCGTAGTATCATTCTGGAAGAGCTTTGGCAATTGTATCTCTGTGTGGAGGTCTTTGGCGGTTCCTTCTGGGTATTCCAGCTGCCTGGTGTGGCGATCTCATCCAGTCCTGGCATGGAGTTCTCATCCTGGTAGGTGGTGTGGGGATCTTGTATTCCAGCCTGGACCAACAGTCTTCCATGTGGCGGCCATGTCCCAGTGAAGCGCTTTCGGCTTGGCATGGTGGTCTCCAGGTTTGGTGGTCTTTTCCTAGTGTGGAGGTCGTCTTTGACGATGGCTTCCTTGTATGCCACCATTTGTGGTCTTGAACAACTTTCCTGAAAGAACATTAAGATGAACTCTGTCTTAATTTTTACTACTTTCTTTTTATCCACTAATTTTGTCGTAAATATAGGCACTATGGTATGGCAACTTACAAAACTTTTTACTTTTTTTCTTGTAAAAATACATGTGGCAATAACTCGCTAATCTATTCTAATCTTCACTGACCATCAGGAATAGACTGGTCAGGAGTTTGCTGCAATGGTATTATTCTGATTTTTGTGTATAAGACATGCCAATCCAATTTTCCACAATGTTGATTAGATGCCAGTTATAGTGGAACAGCTTGGCTAGGGGCATGGCAAGTCCTGGAGCTTGTATTCAGTGCTATTGCAGAGTGTTGTCAGGACCCGCAGCCTTTGAAGTATCCAGTGCCTCCTACCATTTCTTGATATAGCATGGAGTGAATCGAATTGATTGCAGAGTTTCCAATGCTGCTCCACCAGAGATGAGGCGTTAACCTTGTCCCTCCTTAATGTCACCTCTGACCCCCTTCAGTCCTACAGCTCTCAGTGAATTCTGCCTTGTTCAATGTACATATACTCTGAAGGAACCTGCCATAACTCATTTATGATGCTATTGATATCTATTTCTTTGGCTATGCATTTGGTTAACTGTCATAATCGCTCCTTTGCCTTTTTGTCAAGTTTTGCCTGATTGCACTCTTGTGAAGTCATTGTGGGCAATATCACTTCACTGTCAAGAAAATTCATTTTTGTACATATTTCTCAATGCTGCTATTATTTGTACGTATGGTAATAGATTGAACTACTTTTTGATTGTTTCAGGTTGCCATGAGAGATGACTATTCTGATCCATTTGATGCCAAAAATGAGTTGAAGAATAAAGTTGTCAAAAAGCCAGAGATGGACAATAATGGTTACATGGAACCTTATGAGGCACAAAGGATGATGGCAGGTGAGATGAGTGTGTTCAGATTCTGCATGTTAGAGGAGTCATGCAACTTCATTTTGTTTTCTACATTCACAGGGGCTGCATCAGAGATGGGATAGTCAAATATATTAGCTGGACACAATTCCTCATTCTGTTCCCAATCAAAACCTTCCTGAGTTTCATCACTGCTATGAAATCACTCCAGGTCTATCCTAATGAATGTTTTATCTATCCATACTTGAGTTATTGTTCCAAATTGGATTTCATACTCTAGTCTCGCTAATCTAGCAGATATGCACTTTCCCTCTGCTTATCAAGGCAAGGAGTCCACATCTCTTTTTCATAAATCTCCCAGTCATTTCTGCAGTCTTAAACTCCACAGGTTTGTCTGTTCATGCACTCCCTTTAGAATGAGATACTGCCAAGTATTTATTATTCGGTGTACTTGGGGAATGTTTGCTGATTAACCAGAAATGCTGGTTTTTGGGAAAGTTGCATTACTCCAGGCACAAGACCAAAGTGATGCCCTTCCATTGAGAGGAAGCAGTTATGCAGTTCAGGACCACAGTGTTGTAAGGATCACAGTAAAACCAAGCACAACTGAAGACCGTGCTAGCCACATGACCGACATGGCGTCCTTCAAATTATCCTGTTTAAAAACAGATCAGCCTGTCAGTTTCACTGGTAGTTCTGAGCAGGCACAATAACTGAAACTGACCCATTAATTTAGAAATTTTAATGTCAAACCCAAGAACAGCTTCTGCAGATTTTCAATGACCTATTGTCAGCTTTTAAAGAATGAGTCGCCTGAATATTTTTAGCAAGAAAGTAAAGTTGTTGAGAATTTTTATGAGAGAATTCCAGTTGGTATGATGTTGGATAGCACCTGGCTTATTGCTGTCTCTGTATTTGTTGCTGCTGGGGCAGTCATAGAGTCTGAGAGATCCACGGCACACAAAAAGGCTGTTTGACCCATCGTGTCTGTGTTGGTCAAAAGCAACAATCTAACTAGTCCATGCAGTCATTGCATTGCCATGGTACTGGGTACTAGCTTCATCCTTGAAGTTTAATTCGTGCAGCAGCCTGGTGCTACCGTAATGAAGTGCAAACTGTCTGACATATAGTAGTGCTGAGAAAGATCCCTGTGTTTCCCTGCCTCTTTAACTGCAGCCTCACTCCTGAGTGCGAGGGCTGCTGAGAGGCAAGCAGTAAGGAGGCGAGTAGGGGATGTGCTTTGGGTCAGCCAACCCAGTGGTGTACGGAGCGGTGAGGGGGCAGCCCGTGGTGATGGATGCAGTATTAATGTGTGCCCCCTTTCCAGGTCTGATTGTGGTATTCGTGTGGGCACACAAATTCACATTTCCACACACTTTTTGAAAAGAAGTTGCAGGTTTTTGGAAAGGAAAATGAAATAAATGTAAGATTTGACTTAGGACATGTATACACAGGTGTACATAGATACACTTAAATACTTTTGAGGACCTCAGCAACAAGTGTGTTGAATATTGGAGAAGGCAGAGCAGATTGCAACTTATTCTCTCTGGTATAATCTAGTCCAAGGTGCATTGGTTGCTGGCACTTTTTTTGGGTTGTCATTTTCAGGGTGTGAATTTTCTTTTCAGTGCTCCTCCATGTAAAGGTACGGGTGGCAATGCTTTTCCACAGGTGACCGGTTTGATAACTTGGTAGTCAGCATTACATTAATTTACTGTATCTCCTCCTGAATCAACCTCAATCACGTGAAATTTAAAGTGAAAAGCTCAATAGGGCTGATTTTTGTGGGTGTCCTGGTCCTGTTCAGGCATGCAGCTTGTAAAATCTCAGTTGCATTGACGTTACTGAATTTCTGCGCGCTGTACAGTACGGAGGTTGCCGCATACTCCGTAAATGACTTGGGATTTGTGGAGCTCACATGACATACAGTTAGCCTGCACTACTTCGAGGCAATCTGACCTTCTTAAAGAGGAGGTTGTAATCAGGCCAAGCAGTTACTGGAACAGGCTGAGGACGGCTTTGCTTGCAGGACAGGGCTGTTAACGGAGCACCATGCCAGGCAAAAGTTCCATGTGTCTGTTTGATGTGACCCTAGAGGCCTCAGTGGTACAGATGGAAAGGAGGAGAGTGATGGGGTTTTCATGGGGATCAAGACCATCATACTCCAAATTAATTAGGCTTCAATAATTCTAGGCATGGTTCCAAGACTGTAATGCTGAAAAATTAGCTGCAGTGTCTATAAAAGTTGAATGACCCAGCATACGTGGTCAAAGTCAGTTAATGCATCTTTAAATGACATATAATACCCACATCCCCGCACCCCACCCCACCGCCCAACCTCTCACTGCTTGTGCACTGTCATGCATCATCAGCAATCCATGCAGATGTTAATACTTCCGAGACTCTACAAACCTTCACACGCTTGCCAATGCTGTGAGGCTGTCACACCCTTCTCTCAGAATCTCCATTCTTCCAGTTATTCAGATATGACTGCCTTTGGAGGGGATATAAATCCGCATCGTTCTTCAAAAGATGATGGACATATAGCAACTAAGTCAGTTTCAGATGGGCTGTCTCTGTATGGTGCACCTCAGCTGGTAGTCTCCTGCCCAGTAAAGTTAACCCAGTCTTAACTTGCACAATGTGAACTTTAGTCAATGTGGAGTCTTGAATCGTCAAAACACCTTGCAGAAGAGGCCCTTTGGCCCATTAAGTCTGCATGGACACATAGCTTTGAAAGTTATGATGTGCCAAGTGCTCATCCAGGTACTTTTTTTAAAGCATGTGAAGCAATTCGCCAATTCTGAGGAGGGGTCACCGGACCCAAGACATTAACTCTGATTTTTTTTCTCCACAGATTCTGCGAGATCTGCTGAGCTTTTCCAGCAACTTCTGTTTTTGTTCCTGATTTACAACATCTTCAATTCTTTTGGGTTTCAATTTGCCTGTATTACCCTCCCAGGCAGCAGATTCTAGACCATCACCACCCTCTTGGTGAAGAAGTTTTCATCAAATCCCGCCCCCGCCCCCAAACCTTTAGCACCTAACCTTGAATCTGTGTCCTCTTGTGACTGACCTTTCGACTAAAGAGAACAGCTGCTCCTTATCCACTCTGTTCATGTCCTCATAATCTAGTACGCTTTAATCAGATCACCCGTCAGCCTTCTCTTCTCCAATGAAAACAACCCAAGCCTATCCAACCTTTCCTCATTACTGAAATTTTCCATCTCCGGCATCATCCTATTGAATCTCCTGTCTGCACCCCCTCCACTGCAATCACATCCTTCTACTAATGTGGCAACCAGGACTGCGCATAGTAATCTAGCTGTGGTGTCACCGAAGTTCTATACAACTCCAAAATCACTTCCCTACTTTTATAATCTGTGCCTCAGTTGATAAGAGCAAGTGTCCCATAGGCCTTTCTCGCCACACTACTAACATGCCAACCTGCCTTCAGAGATCCGTGGCCAAATACTTTAAGGTCCCTTTGTTACACAGGACTTCCTAGTGTGCCGTCCATTGAATACTTCCTTGTTAAATTACTCCTTTCAAAGTGTATCACATCATGCTTTCCAGGGTTCAATTCTGTGTTCCACTTGTCAGCCCATTTGACCATCCTATTTATATCTTCATGTAATCCAAGATGCTCGACCTCGCTGTTAAACTTAACTAATCAACTCCCTCTGTCCCAACACAGTCATCTATGTCATTTATATAATTGACAAATAGTAGGAGGCCCAGCACAGATCCCTGTGGTATGCCTCTGGACACTCTCTTCCAGTCACTGAAGCGGCCTTCTGACATTACCCTCTGTCTCCTACAACTGAACAAATTTTGAATCCACTTTATCAAGTTACCCTGTATCCCATGTGCATTTGCTTTCTTGATATGTTTTTTATGTGGGGCCTTACAAAGGCTTTTCTGAAATCCATATAAATGAGATCAACTGCACTGCCCTCATCAGACGCTCGATCCCCACCTCAAAAAAATTCAATCAAATTTGTTTGGCATGACCTCCCTTTGACAAGGCCATTCTGACTTTCCCTGATAGAGCCTTGCCTCTCCACGTGGAGAAGATGCTCTCCTTCAGAATTTTTTCCAATAGCTTCCCTTCCATTAATGTGAGGCTCACTGGTCTGTAGTTCTCTGGCTTATCTCAACAGCCCTTCTTAAATGTTGGCACCACATTAGCTGTTCTCCAGTCCTTTAGCACCTACCCCGTGGCCAGAGAGGAGTTAAAAATTTGGGTCAGTATCCCTGCAATCTCCTTTTGACCCCAAAAGCAGCCTGGGAGTTTATCTCGACAGGGAGATTTGTTCACTTATAATACTTCCAACACCACCATAATCATGCCCTTCCCATGTCAATTTGCTCAAGCACCTCAGTCTCTCTTGAGTTCCATACCTACAACCTAATTCTCTTGCGTGAAGACAGATGTGAAGTATTGGTTCAACGCTCCGATATTCTCTGGCTCCATCCACACATTGCTCCCTTGGTCACTAATAGGCCCTACTCTTACCCCGGTTATCCTCTTCCCATTGATTTTCTTATGGAATATCTTGAGATTTTTCCCTACTTTTACCAGCTAGAGCTTTCTCATATCCCTTTTTGCTTTCCTAATTGCATAGTTAAGCTCCATCCTGCACTTTCTGTACAGATGCCTCTGCTGATTTGTTCCCCTTTCACCTATTAAAAGCGTCACTTTTCCTTCTTATTGTATCCTGAATATCACTGTCATCCATGGTTCTCTCAGCTTGTTACTGCTTCCTATCACCCTAGAAGGAACACATTAGGCTTTTACTCTCCCCATTTCCTTTTCGAATACCCTTCCCCACTGCTCTTTTGTAGATTTCCCCACTAATAGCTATTTCCAGTCTAACTTGGCTAGATCTTACCTTCCTTTACTAAATTCGCTCTCCCCAATTCAAAACTTTTTTTTTTTTGCAACTTGCCTATTTCTTTGTCTACAATAAGCTTAAATTGTACCATATTGTAATCACTATCATTGAAATGCTTCCCCACCACCACCT